GTATCATTAGTGTTCATCATCTATTCTGTAAGGGTCTAAGGCCGCTCAAGACCGTGAGCACGACTGATATACCAGTTTTACACTCTGCAGAGGTTGTACACTTTCACTGTGAGTCATGATGTACCCTTCGCCCGAGGTGATCAGCCTCTTGACCCACTACCAAGGAAGTTTGGTAGGGTTCACTATAAAGCATTTCAAAGATTCGTCTAACAAGTTATGGCCATTAGATTTACTCGGCAAACAGATGTAGAGCCCCCCTTCCCGATGGCACAATGACACACAGCCTATACACAAGGGGACAGAGGCCGCACTATACCAGATTTGTCAAGCCATTCTTACGCCAATAAAGGTAACCTCTAACAAGCTAGAAAAGGTTCTCATACTGAGCTAAAGCTAGAGCCATGTGGCTCTCACAGTTGTACTGTAAGTCCTGGATAATCACTTACAGATAAGTCCTTAGGAAGAGGAATCTAGAGCACTATAAAAACAGTCTAATACTCTAGCCCCCTTGTTCCATGTTGCTAAAAACATCTTTTAGTATTTATTGCATATACCATTAGTCAAGTTACAAGATCATCGTTCCAGTTGAGCACTAGCATCATACTACCCAATGCAATAACCCAAAGGTGTCAAAGTACAAGGAAACAAAATACTAGAAAATCCTTAGTGATAATCAAGGTTGACACATACGACATGAATTAAATGATTAAAGGTGTATAGGACAACAAGGAAGATCGCATGCTATACTTGCCTTAAATTTAGATCCTTCTTCTATTGATTAGTAACCTCCAAAGAACTGCTTCTTGATCACCACGTAAAACTCATCGATTGGACAAGACCATTAAGCACCACACAAGCATCCGAACAAACATGCATAGCATTCAAACATAACTATATTAGAACCATACACCAATCAGTGAAAAAGAATTTGAAATCAAATCTACGCGTTGCTACGATCACACAGACGCAAAAATCACGCTAATCGGAGCTCCAGTGAAAAAGATACATCACAGATAGATTTGCTTCGAAAAGAAACTATAGGCTTTATTTATTTTAGCTATATAAAACATGTATAAGATACTTTAGAGAAATACCTTAATTGAGTTCAGTCAAATTATACTTGATTTAGAAAAACAAGGTAAAACTAATCATATAATTGACCAAGGTGAAAAGCCTAAGTTACTTTTAATTAAAAAAATCCAATTACATAATCATTATTCAGGTTAGACGTTAAACCATAAAATTCCAGAGCTTTTGACATGGAAAACATTGATACTAATGCATAGATTATGTCGTTACGAATCTAACACAACTTGAACGGGTCAGATTGGAGTTAAAACGGAGAAGATATGGCCTAATCAAGATAGTGGCAATTTTGTAAATAGATGGAACTTGATTTTCAAATTTAAAATAAATAAAATCGAATTTTGGATCTGCAGGAGGACTGCGGATACTATTTTATCAAAAAGCAGGGGCTCTTTAGAAAAACTGCAGGGATGGCGGGTTCTATTACGCGAACTACAGGGGCTCTTTAGCAAAAGTACAGGTCCGAAACGGTATGGCGTGATATCGGCCGCTGGATCAAGATCTAATGGCCCAGAACAGATCGAGCGGGAGATGAGGCTGTTGGCGTCGCTGTACGCGGTGGTGGCGCCATGGATAATGGCGAGACCTCACCGGCGTAGTTGGAACATGGTCTACGGCCTACGGTATTGCATGGGAAAGGCACCGGAAGATAGAGAAGGAAACGGCGAATCCAACCAAGCATCTTACTGAGACACGGAGCGGACGGAGGCGGCGCTGTGCTTGGCGAGGCGGGTGGCTCGTCGGTGGCTAGGGTTTGGCGACGTTGCGTCAACTCGGCGAGGTGGCTGCGGATTAGAACGAGATGGGGAGAGGCGCGGTGCAGGCAGCTGGTATTTAAGGCCCGGGGAGCAACGTGTGGCGCAAGGCAAGGATGAGGCGTGGTCGGAGCGGAGTCAGACGTAGCGGCGGTTCGATTGGCGCAGGGAAGACGATAGCGATTCAAAGAAGAAGACGCTGACTGGTGGGGTACGCCTGTCAGCGAGGGAGAGAGAAAAACAGAGAGATGGGCGCGGCGCGGACTCGCTCGGCCGTTGCGCGTGGCTGGGGCCGGCATGTTGCGGAGAGAGGGAAGCGGGGAGAAGAAGAGAGGCCGTGCGGGGTTGGGCCGGCTGCTGGATGGGCTTCGAGCGGGGTGGAGCAGGCCAGGCCGAAGCTGAGAGGGAAAGGAGGAGCGAGCAGAGCTAGGCCAGAAATGAGAGGGAGGGAGTGTTTTCTATTTTTTTCAGAACCATTTTCAAACTTGGTTTGAAATAATTTGAACTTTGCTCAAATCCACACAGTACAATAAAACATATGTGCCAGCATGAATGTACAAAAATGTTGCTAAGTCTTATGATAAATTTTAATTTAATGAAAATTATTATTTTTCCTATGTTTTCATGAGCACACAAATTCAGAATTAATTCAATTTCTCTTTATTTCAAAAGGAGCAATTTTTAGGTTGTTACACTGAAGTGGATAGGCTGATGCTCATCCATAGTGTTATCACTATGCTCAAGGTGGTGACAGGACTGCTCCTCTCCAAGGGCTCAACTGATGACAAGCAGAAGCATCTGAAGTATGGTGATCGCCAGGATGATGAAGCTCAGAATATTTGAAGAGTTAAGAAGTACTCAGGAAGAATGACTGATGATTTTTTTTCTTCAGTTTTATCCTTCGTGCGACCATCTGTGGTCTTTCTGGGTGAACTGTAATGAATGTTCTTGCTTGCTCCATTCTTTCTGGTAGCTTGGACTTCAGGCCTGTTTAAACTCTAGTAGCTCTCTGACGCTGAGACAGAGTGCAGATTTTCTAGGAGCCAAGTCTTCTATCTTCTTTCTGTTTTTTTCTCCTTAACAAACTCATGTATTTCCATTTTCTTTATAAATGGAAGTGGGGTTCAGCCTCCCATTGAAAAAATATAAAGGATTGGTTATATAACTCCCACAACTATGAAACTTGATATTGCAACCCATAAAGCATCTAATAATGTTGAAATGACCACCCGTATGGCCTTGTAGGTTTGATTGGATATCGTATCCTACCGTATTGGCCTAAACACCCATGTGTTGCACGAAAGCCCATCTGTTGCCTCCCTCTCCCTAATATTTCTAGGCTTGCGCCAGCGCCCAATGAGCACCACACTGTCTCATGCTCCACCTCACGATACTCATCGAGGGCATTGAGCTCATGCATTGTACCTGCACCCTTACCATCTGTCCCCTCCCACATCCTTGCCCCATCTCGCTTTCTCCTCATATGGCTACCTAAAAAACTAAAGGACAACCAGATGGTGGATGTGGGAGGGGCGGGATGACAAGGGTGTAGACATGGTGCTTTAGTTCATTGTCGCCGACGAGTGCTAGAAGGTGGAGTAGGAGACAAGATGTCACATACCGCTCATTGGGTGGTGGGTTAGCCCAAAAAGAGTAGGGAGGTGGAGGCAACAATTGAGCCTATGTGCAAGCAAGGGTACTTAGGCTAGTGTAGTGTGATACGGTGCCCAAATGGCCCTACAAGATCATTACGGGTCTCCTGAGCATTATTAAATAATTTAAGGGCTACAGTATCATGTTCTATAGCTGTTGAGGTCATGCAGTCAACCCTTAATATGTTAGGGTTTATATAAACTTTTTTAATGTACGGCGAAACCACCATGAAAATCGCCTTAGTTATAGTTTTCAATAATTTAAAAGGTAGATTAACTAGTTTTAAATGTGAGGAGGTGAAATAGAGAACCATCCACAATTGAGGTGGTTAAGTCGACTTTTTCATTTGAGTTAATTTAATATGTATAATTATTTTATACAAATATTGTTTCTGGTATAATTATTTTATACAAATATTGTTTCTGAATACATGTTAAGCGTGATTAAATTTTTAATATATGCATGTTGAGTAATATTTCTTTTATCATATTTATAAAGGGAATTGAGTTTTAGTTTGGCTTGAGGGCCCAAAATCCTAAGGACCGGCACGGTCCTGAACTGATCGGCTGAGAGCACTCCAAGATTTGACGAGACTGAAATCTATCAGCTGTGTACTCTTCCGTCCACAAAAGAATACAATTATGATATCTGTGCCGGTCAACTGAGCTTAAGTTTAACCAAATTTATAGTAAATAATATCAGTATTTATGTCTCTAAATAAATTAATTATAAAATTATAATCTATAACTAATCTAATGGCATTTTGTATAAAAAAATTTATACATTTTATATAAATTTAGTTAATGTTTAGACTATTTGACTCCTCAAAATTCAAGAATTACATTTATTCAAAGACGGAGGTAGTAACAGTTAAGCAAATAATTGTGTGCAACTGATGGTACTCTTGGATTGACTGGATGGACCATGGATCATTATTGGAGGAAGTCTAACCAGAACAGTCGCATTCTCGGGAATCCCAAATACTATTCCGCGCACGTCCGCCGACGCGGGCTTTATGTTTCTGGCACCGTTTCTTTTTACATCCAGAACTGGTACATACGCACTTTCTGTTTCTGAGGCTGTTTCCTTTTTCGGACCCAGCGTGCATAGAGGGTGGACGCGAGGAATGGGAGGTGCTCTGTGTTTCAGATTTGTGGCTGATCCTGTTTCTTGGGGGCATATATAAGTGATATACCAAACATTAAAATGTAATAACTTTCTTGAAAAATATATTTTTTTAATTTCGTTACCACCGTTACGTTTATTATGACGAGATCTATAAAAGTGGATGCGCTGTGTCACGGATCTGACCCAGGAATTGAATTCGGAAAATCCTTTACTCGAAATGTTGCCATTCGCGAATTCCCAAAGAGGGAGGTCGGATTTGAATCTGGAATCCGATTCCAGGTCCAATGCCCAGTGCTCTGCCTCTGCTCCCCGGAGCGGAGCGGAACGAAACGGTCCACACGCTCGCAAGACCCCGTCGCGACTCCGAAATCCGAATCCATGGCCGTCCTCCGCGCCTGGCCGCCCTTTCTCCCGCAGCCACTCTCGCGCCCCTCTCACTCTCAGTCCAAGCGGCGCCCCACCTGCCGCGGAGTCGCAGCCACAGTCACACCCGGTCCTGCTCCTTCCACCAGGTCCAGGACCGGCGGCGTCCATGTCCATGGAGGCCGCGCCAAGAAGGGGCTTCTTGGGGCAAGGGGAAGGCCGCGGGAGGAGCGGGTGCCCTGCCTACCCGCGACGGAGGCGGGGGTTGGTGCGGCAGGCGTCGCGAGGGAGGAAGACGAGGACGACGAGTATCTGGCGCGGGAGGCCGGGTGGGGCGTGCGGCGGATGGGGCGGGTCGGCGAGGAGATGCGGCGGGTGGCGCAGGTCCAGGCCCAGGCCTTCCACGTCCCCGTCGCGCTCTTCAACGACTTCTTCTTCAATTTCTTCAAAGTGAGTACGTATCTGAGCTAGCTTGCGCTTTAATTGGATCTGTTCGTCCTCATGGTGTGCTGCTATTGGTGGCGTTTGTTGCTTGCGTCAAGATTAGGCCGAGGTGCTGTCGGCGCTCATCTACAGAGTGAGGAACTCGCCGCCTGACAGGTGAACGATGCTCTTGGTACCTGTGCCGAATAGTACTTGGATTGGATTTTGATTAGAAAGTTTAATTTATCTAGAGCAATGTGGTGTTTTTAGTAGGAGTTCTTGTTTCAATGAACAAATTAGTGTCATGCTCAAATTTACATGCTCTTTGTCTGATCATATATTTTACACATCAAAATTCATTCTTGTTGCTCTTAATGTGTGTTCTTATTGTGTGTTCTGAACAGGTAGTGGCAAACATCTATTTTTTGGGTTGGTTTTAGTTATCAATATTTTATCAATCTTAGTTCAGTATGTTTGCCAAAGACAGTAATTTAGAGCTTGCAGAATTCACCTTTGCCTTTTACTGTGTGGAACAGAGCATCTGAGTTACTGGCAAGTTATTATGTTGTGTATCAAGATCCTTCTACAAAAATTGCAATTGACATGTGTTCTCTCTAGACCTGCAGACTATGTAAAATCCACATGTTAGGATTAGTCAATACCTGAACCTTATTTTGTTCACTAATATTTCTGCTGACAACTGAATTCTGTTCTCCTTAGATATGCTTGTTTGGTGGCTGAAGAAGCTGAGGCAGCCGACCAGCTGTCAAAGGCACCATATGAGAGGATTGTCGGGGTTGTGGATTGCACGGTGCAGGATGAAGACGACATCCTTAAGCAACTCCAAGGCGTAGATGAGTACCTCTATGTGTCAGGAATTGCAGTCTTGCCATCATTCAGGTGATTTCTAACATCTATTTTCTCTACTTCCACACGTCTACTTGCCCAATGGGGCCAAGACCATAACATTCAGGAAATCAGTTAACACTAGATGCGTTTACATTGTTCACGCTTGCAGGAGGAGGAAGGTAGGGACTGCGTTGCTGAAGGCCTGCGAGGCACTGGGGGTCAAATGGAGGCACAGATTTATGGTTCTGAGGGCATATGAAGATGACGATGGTGCTCGAGGACTCTATGCCAAAGCAGGGTACAGGGTCGTGTCAAGGGATCCGGACTGGGTCACCTGGGTTGGGAGGAGAAGGCGTGTTGTGATGATAAAAGACTTGCCGGTTCACGATAATCAGATTGAACAACAATGACACCACACACACACCAGCATGTTTGTTGAATGGGGGTGTATATCCCCAGCTAATGTGTATTGTTTTTTGTCCTATGAGCAGCATCAATGCATCATACATCAGCCTATTCGCTTGCTCGTAAACGATCGTAAATTTCCAGCCAGGAACAGTGTTTTTCTCTCACACCAAACCAGCCAGCAGTAAATAATCCACGATACGATACGGCCTCCCGAACAGGCTGCATGTCTTTTTGGACAATAGAGGAGATACAGTTGCCTATCTTTCCACCAAACACAGAATGAAACTACAGTCACATTGACAAATCCCATTTCAGTCTGCAACAGGCAAGCTATACAGTATCGGCACATTATTTACGACATTACACCAGGACTCGAAAAGTTCATGTAGAAGCTCACTCAGTGCTGCAAAAGTAGACAGTAGTTTCACCCGAACTCCTGAAGATCCAAGAGGAGCCAATGGTTTTCCTTGCAATTTAAGTTGCTCTTGTTCATTTTATTCACACCCATGCTAAGAATGGCAATATAACATTCCACAGTTGTTTCGTCATTGCCTACTGGATTTGGCTTCGCACGAAACTTGACTTAACATTGAGATATGGATAAAACTTAAAAAGTGTTGACTCCTTAAGGTAACATCATCAAATGGGATTATTGAGTAGAGTTGGGATGATTGCAGTTCTGTGGGCAATTGAGTTCAGATAACAAGTGCACTAAAGCCTAAGAGATGCAGAGGAGGAACAGAGTATTACATGACAAACTAGGAACACGAACAACATGGAAAAGCAAAAAGAATAACACGAAAGGCAAGAACGGGCCAACAGCCATGAGAGTTTTCTTGGATTCAATTTCAGATCCCTCGGCCAACCAGATTCAACCTACTCAGATTTTTGGGGAAAAACAAGGTAGATGCAAAAAACACTAAATAGAATGCGAACACCTTTAAAATGCAGACATAATTTGACCCGTATCCATATCATCACTTATTTGCATGCGAGAGCAAAGTCAAATCTTCAGACGACTGAGCTCATCAAACTCAAAGGTAGAGATGATAAATAGTCAAGTAAGCATCCTAGTATGAGGTTTCAGCCTTTTAGGAATGAAAAACGTACTCAAGGTAAATTCTAGATAGGTTACTTCAGTATACCTTGAGAACCTACTCAAACACCAAGAGTACAACATGTCGAACCAGGAACAGAAGCACCATTAGAAGGCAAAAAGAATGACACAAAAGGACACAAACAGGCCAAAGAAACTTGGAATCCATTTTGGGACCATGAACAATGTCTTTTTGGGTTAACTATTCTGAAATATCTTGTGGTCAACCAGATTCATCGTTTCAGACAATTAAATACAAAATGAGGTACATGAAACAGTTAATAATCATAAAAACCTTAACAAAATCAATTAAATGGCACAGATACTACCATAGCCTTATCATTATTTATATATATGCATCCAGGAGCAAAAGACACTTCTTCAGACTGAGCTCCTCAAAAACAAAGGAGGAGCTTGAGGGCACATGGGAGGTAGCGAGAGATGTTAGATATTCATGTAAGCATCGGAATATTAGGTATCAGGAATACAAAACATGTCCAAGGCGGCCAGGTCGGTAGCTGTTAAGATGAAAACGGCGTTTCATAAAGTCTATCTATGCTCTAGAATTATATTCGTTGTCCACCCACGGTCATGCAAACACTGAGCAATAGCAATGCCTGTCCGCAAGACTGCATGCGTCAGTCTTAGAAGTTAGACAAAATGCAGTTTCTCAAGGTTCTTAACTTTAGAATATATAGAAACTTCAGATCTGAAGTGGAGCTCAGAGGTGGAGCTGTGCCAAATGAAGCCCTTCGCACTCATATTCACGTTGCTTGTTAACATCAAATACTTGCATCATGTATGGATGGAGGAGAAAATTTTGCACATATACTCCAGCAGCTCATGCTTGGAACACTTGATGTGAGGGAGGCTGATTTTGGAACGTTTGTTGGGGGAACAACTCAACAAAGGCAAATGTTTTGCATATTCGGTCAGTTAGTTGACTCTTCTTGTTGTGTTGAAGGGCCTCTATGCATTGGGCTACAATGCTGTCTACCATATTATTCAAGGCATGGTTTTTCAAAAGCAAAAGTGTGGCACACAAGTATTGATGCATACTATCTGTTCTTTTCATTTCTCTTGTTTGGATCAGGACAAGATCTAAATGGCGATTGCTGTTTTCTGGTGCAGTTCTGTGGATGTTTTTTTCTCTGTCTGTTGTCCTTTCAGTTGGGGCAATGCTACCGTACTCCTTTACATGTATACTTTCCGTACTTTTGAACTTTGGTTTGTACGCGCTCAAGTATGCAACCATTACTCGTTTAATTAAGTACTCTGAAGGATGGTATTTTTATACAAATGAAGTCCTAGTTGTATCCAGTTGTTCTCTATGCGAGATCCTGTGTATGAATGAGATATATTAATGAGCTGAGCTAGGCTGTAGGCTTTTGGCCCGTTTAGTATAGAAAGCAAGCTCAAATGGGCTCGCAAGCCAAACGAGCTGAAGTAGACATGGTAATCTCAAAAATAGCCCATGAAACCGCGTTGGCCTACCCAACAATAACCCAAGATGCCAACTTATCTTCTCAAACCCAAGAGGCATATACCACACCCACACTACGGTTGATGGCCACGTGTGCCATTCCTCTTCCCTTCTTCCCTTAAAGGAACCAGAGTTTTCAAAAGAAAATCACGACCCTTTGTGATAGTCCTAGGATACTTTGGCTATCACGGGCATCCATAATTCAAGTGATTACAATTCCATACAAATGTTTCAAAGTAGATAATAAGATTATCACACTTATTTTGGGTACAAGCCCTTTTTAGGATAAATCAAACATAAATACCATAGATATACATACGTTGTATCTAAGCTTGGTGAGCTGAGTAGATTTCGTGTCATTGAGTATAAGCCATGTTTGCGCAGACCGTTCGCCAATTATTGACCGAGTATATTTCATTTGTTGCGTTTTCCACCCTCCACCACCCCTAGGCCCACATGTTAGCAGGGTTGGAGACTCATCAGTGCAGCACAACGACTCTTCCATCGATTCTCTCCCCCTCTCCTCCCTCCTCTCTAGAATCCATGAAGAAGGAGGAGAAAGAAATGCAAGGGAGAGAATGATGAAGTGGAAAAGGAGAGAAGCAATGCAAGCCCGTGGTAAAGCTCAAGACCCTCTTCATCCTCCATGATAGTGTGAGCACACATGATCTCTCTCTTAATCTCTTCAGCGTGGTGATCTCTCTCTCTCTCTCTCTCTCTCTCTCTCTCTCTCTCTCTCTCTCTCTCTCTCTCTGTTATGCATGTGAGGAGAGGGCTCCCCCTCTCAAAATCATGTCCTCATGAGGTAAGTGCCCCACTCTCTTTTAATTCTTTGATCATTCATTCTCAATCCCAAATCAAGATCCCACCACCTACGCATCCAACAAAACATTATATGTTGGAATAAACCCTCTTATTACCATTGTAATAATAGTATTGTCGTTAAGCTATTTCAGGTTTGCCAAAGATCCAGTGGCCACTTGAGTAATCTCAAGCTAGGTCAGAGGCATAGAAGTAAGAGGGACTGGTCGTAATTACGCGCTGATCCCCATATTTGTAGACAGAATTAGCTCAACCTTCTTTCAATTTAATTGTATTCAACAACATATTTTCTTGTTTAAATATATCTTTACAATTGTCATTGTGAACTTGAGTACGGTTGCCTAGAATAGTGCCTTTGAGATGTGATTACCCTAGGGTACATTTTGCAAGTGATACAATTAGCTTTGCGCTAAGCGTGGAGCTCATCATGAATGGTGTCTCCAAGGGTTTTCGCACGTTAATCAACTTAATCAGGAGTTAATCGAATGGGTAATACTTGGATTAGGTGGATTAGTTTTTTTAGGAAGGATTAGGTGGATTAGTTGACCAAGGTCCTCGCATGTATGTTTGTCGACTTGGATCACAGCGAATGAAATGGTCAATGTAGAAAGAAAAATGCAACTTGTTCGTCCTTAGGCTTCACGTGGGTCGATACCCAAACCGGGCTTGGCCGAACAGCAGTTGTCGCTGGGCTGGAAGCTAAAGCTGAGGTGGGGGCATTTAAAGGGTTTGGGTCGAAAATGGCCTTTCCTAGATGGAAACGGATCCGCCTACCCTGACGGCCATGAGGTACCTTAACGCAAATATTAATGCTTGTTGAGTGACTAAGTCGTCTCGGTTCTGTTACATGCATACCTGAGCAAAGGCGGCAGTGCCAACACCTGGACTCCCACGTTCGGACCCCATTCCCGTGCCTGCAATCCGTGTACCGCCCAACCCCATACGGCTTCTGCGCCCCACCCGACCATACGCGGCATCTGTGCCCCGATCGACCCCTCATGCCCCCTCCAGCTGCTGCTGCAGGCGGGTCACATTGCAACATGTGCAACACCTGATCTACTTTTAAAGCATCCCGATACAATACTTACAACATACGTTTGAAGACTGATGAAACACTTAAAACATGTGTATGAAACACTCGCAAAAACACCTAAAAATAGTTGAAAACCATTACAAACGTACGCAACATCCAGATAAAATACTTGAAACATATATGTGAAACATATGCAACATCCACATAAATACACTTGCAACGTACTTCTGATAAACAGATGAAACATTAGGATCAAACCTTTGCAACACACGTGTACAACCATTGCAACATATGCAATATCCCGATCTACTTTTGCAACATCCATACGAAACACTTACAACATACCTCTAAAACACTTGAAACATACGCATGCAACATGCAACATATCCTGGTGCAGCCTCCTCCGTCGTCTGAAGCGGGGCGCCACAGCCGTAGCAGGAGGCGAGGCTGGAGGGCTTCCACACCAGGGCCGAACGTTTTCCTTGCGCTGGCGATGCCTATTGGCGTCATCGGGTGCGAGCACATGCGCGGCGGCCTCGGTGGCCATCTGACGGCCGAGGAAGCGGTC